ACATAGTACTGGAAGTCCTAGCCAAAGCAATCAGGCAATAAAAAGAAATAAAAGAGATACAAGTTGGAAAGGAAGAAGTGAAACTGTCACTATTTGCAGATGACATGATTTTAAATATAGAAAACCCTAAGGAATGCACCAAAAAACTTTTAGAGATAATAAATGAATACAATAAAGCTGCAAGAGACAAAATCAACATACAAAAATTAGTTCCATTTATATACACTAACAATGAATTAGCAGAAAGAGAAATTAAGAATACAATCCCATATACAATCACAACAAAAACACTAAAATACCTTGGAATAAACTTAACCAAAGATGTGAGAGAATTGTACACTGAAAACTATAAACCATTATTGAAAGATACAGAAGAAAACACAAAGAAATGGAAAGATATTCTGCGCTCTTGGTTTGGAAGAATTAACATAGTTAAATTATCCATACTTCCTAAAGCAATATACGGATTCAATGCAATCCCAATCAGAATCCCAATGACCTTCTTTATGGAAATAGAACAAAGAATCCTAAAATTTATATGGAACTACAAAAGACCCTGAGTAGCCAAAGGAATCCTCAGAACAAAGAACAAACCTGGAAGTATCACACCCTGACTTCAAAATATACTACAAAGTGATAGTAATCGAAACAGCATGGTACTGGCACAAAAACAGACACATCGATGCATGGAACAGAACTGACAGCCCAGAAATAAACTCACAGATCTATCGACAGCTAATTTTCAAGAAGGGAGCCAAGAACATACAATGGAGAAATGAAAACTTCTTCAATAAATGGTATTGCGAAAACTGGACAGCCACATGGAAAAGAATGAAAACAGACCATTATCTTATGCCATATACAAAGATTAACTTGGCATGGATTAAATATTTGAATGTGAGACCTGAAAACATGAAACTTCTAGAAGAAAACATAGACAGTACGCTCTTCAACTTCAGTCTTAGCAGCATATTTTCAAGTGCCATGTCTGACCAGGCAAGGGAAACAATAGAAAAAATAAACAAATGGGACCACATCAATCTAAAAACCTTCTGCACAGCAAAGGAAACCATCAACAAAACGAAAAGATAACCTAACAATTGGGAGCAGATATTTGCGAACTATATACCTGATAAGGGGTTAACATGCAAAAAATATAAAGATCTCATACATCTCAACAACAAAAAAACTCACAACCCAATTAAAAAATGGGCAAAAGACCTGAACAGACATTTCTCCAAAGAAGATATACAGATGGCCAACAGACAAGAGAAAAGATGTTCAAAATCATTAACTATCAGGGAAATGCAAATCAAAACTTCAATGAGATATCACCTCACGCCTGTCAGAATGGCTATAATTAACAAGACAGGAAACAACATGTGTTGGGGAGGATGTGGAGAGAAGGGAACTTATACACAGCTGGGGGGAGTGCAAACTGGTGCAGCCACTATGAAAACCAGCATGGAGATTCCTCAAAAAATCAAGTCTAGAACTACCATATGATCCAGCCATTCCACTGCTGAGTATTTATCCAAAGAACTTGAAAACACCAATGCGTAAAGATACATGCACCCCTGTGTTCATTGCAGCATTATTCACAATAGCCAAGTCTTGGAAGCAACCTAAGTGCCCATCAAGGGACGAATGGATAAAGAAGATGTGGTATATATACACAATGCAATACTACTCAGCCATAAGAAACGATGAAATCCAGCCATTTGTGACAACATGGAGGGACATTGAGGGTATTATGCAAAATGAAATTAGTCAGAGGGCGAAGGTTAAATACCATATGATTTCCTTCATTAAGTAGTATATAATAACAACAATAAACAAACACATAGAGACAGAGATTGTATTGGTGGTTACCAGAGGGGAAGGGGGGAGGGAGGAGTGCGAAAGGGATAATTAGGTACAGGTTGTGGTGATGGGTTGTAATTAGTATTTTGGTGGTGAACATGATGTAATCTATGCAGAAATAGAAGTACAATGATGTACACCTGAAATTTTTACAATGTTATAAACCAATGTTACTGCAATAAACAAAAATTAAAAAAAAAACAAAACAACCAATATGTACTTGTGAATGTAACTTAGAGAAGCAGGGAAGGGGGAATGAGTGCTCTTTGGTTTTAACCCCATATATGCTGGGTTCAACGCAGAGGAACAGATATCAGGGCCGGCATCAAACATATTAATAATGCACCTGACAATAATAATAGCTAAGACTTATATAGGGCTACTACACCAGACATTATTTTAAGAGCATTATGTATATGAACTCATTTAGTCTTCACAATAACCCTATAAGGTAGATTCTATTATCAGGTCATTTACTTAAAAGATAAAAAGTAAGCCACACTGGGGGAAGCAAGAGCCACTTACTAGCCATAAGACCGAAAGCAACACATTTTAAATTCTCTGAAGCCCACACTCCTAATTTGTGAAGAAAATAAATAAATAAAATTTTTAAAAGAAACAAAGACTATATCACAGGTTTTTTATTTCATTGTACAGAGTTTTCAACAACATGTAAATATGGAATTGATTCACTGCATCAAGATGAATACTTAAATTATAAGCATGTGTGTGCATGTGAGTGTGTGTGCATGTGTGTATTTGTAGGCAACTTTGTGAATACACATCATGAGAATGGGTTTGATAAAACTAAAATAAAGTGGCAGGGACAAGAAAAAAAAATTACCCTTGTAAAGGCTAGCATCCATGATTGTATTTCCGTTTCCCACTGAAATATAAGACTAAAGCCTATAATATTGGTTAATTTTTATTGAGCATGTGCTAAGTATTTCATAGCCATTATTCCATTCATGTATCCAGACAACTTTATGAAGTACTATTTTATGCCCATTTTACAAGTAAGGAATCCGAAGCCCATAGAGGTTGTCACTTACGCGAGAAAGATGAAAGATAAAAGGCAAAGCTTTGGCCCTCAGAGAGATAAGGAAAACAGATTAAGGACTTAATGGCCTTTTCAAGCCTGCAGTAATAGTATAAATACTAAAGAAGACAGGGACCATCCTGATTGCAAAGCCAGGGTAAGAAGACAGAAAAATACTTGACTTTTCTGAGAAGGTCTTAAGGCAAACTGAAGATACCAGTACTTTAGAACTTTCCTTCACCTGGCATGCAGGATTCACCCATTCATGTACTCAGGCACCAAAAGATAACATTTGAATGTATGTAGGTAACATCTGAGTGAATATACACAGACTGTTGGAGTTAATGCTCTTTAAATAGGTAATAGTGTCAATTCCCTGATATTTACACTTTCATCTTGATCCTGGAGTAATTTCTTGCTGTTTAATATGAGAATTGGAGATAAAATATGCAAAGTTCCTAGTACACAGTAGGCACTTATCAATGATAGCTGTTATTATTCCAGCCAGAGCTCTAGACTTGACCAAAAATATAACTGGTACTGACCCAGCCTCACATAAGGAATAGGTCAAATCATCATTTATTTTTTTAATGGCTTACTCCCAGGCCTTAGCAATAAGACTAAAAGGAAACCACCTTTCTCAAATACTCAATGGTCTAGGGAAGTGTTTCTCAGTCTTGGCACTATTGACATTTTGGGCCAGATAACTCTTTATTATGGAGTAGGTTATCCTGTGCATTGTAGTATGCTTAGCAGCATCCCTGGCCTCTACCAACTAGATACAAGTAGCACCCTCACCCTGTTGTCACAACCAAAAATGTCACCAGATATTGTCACATGCTTTCTGGGGGACAAAACTGTCCCCAGATGAGAACAACTGCTCTAGCGAAAAGAAGGAAGTATCAAAGAGTACATAACAAAAGGAAGGGCAGAAGTTGTTAATATCAACATTGTGGGAGGCAGAACCTTGGAGGGCCTGAGGGAGAACTAGGACAAATAAGACTGTATCTTGCCCACTTCTCCCCTTCAGAACACTTTTATATAAACTATATGTAGATAATCTCTTCTCATGGGTAAGCATAAACATTAATAATGGCTATCATTTCCAAAAACCTGATGATTGATAGTAATAATAGCTAAAACTTATATAGAACTATTATGTCAGGTGGTATTTTTAAGAGTTTAACATATATGAACTCATTTAACCCTCACAACTCTATAAGGTAGATTCTATTGTTGCATCTATTTTTCCTATGGGATGTGGCAGGCACAAAAATTTTATGGAGTGTTTCCGAGATTGCATAGCTAGGTAGTAAGAGAGCAAGGATTTCAGTCTGGCTCCAGAGTCCATCCTTCTAATCACTATTCTACACAGTACACTATGTGCCACGTGCTTGACCTGCATTATCTGCAACTGTCATGGCACCTCTTGCCCAGAGTCACACAACTATGAAGAGGCAGACCAAAATTTGAAACCTAGTGTCCTTCCACTATATCTCACTGTCTCTGCAATTGTTAACAAAAGCATGCATGAGGGATACAGGGCTGAGAGAGGCAGGAAATGTCATTGAAAGGTTACCAGTATGTAGAAAAGCATTCTAAATTATGATAATAAAGCAATGAGGGAAAACAAATGAGACAATAGAGGGACAAAGACAAGGCAGGGATAAAGAAAGAATACTAGACTATAGCTCAAGATCTTTAGGGAACTATCTATTCATATGATACAGAAATGGATGGTCCTGCCTGCACAACTCTAGAGAGAACAATTGTTTGAGCTGCTTAAATTTTTGGATTAAGAATTTCCACAGTTTTTTGTGTATTTGTGCAAATCATTTTACCTCGGTTTCCTCATGTGTAAAATGAGGATATTACCTAAATAATTGCATCAGTGAGACAAAATCTATTTAAGTACCCAGCACAGTATTTTACATGTACTTACTATGCACTAAATATATGGTAGCCACAGGTATTACTTTTTCTTTTTATAAAAAAATATTTTGGACAAAAAACAGAAGCTAGACCCAGGGCCAAAAAGAAAGAGAGAAAGGGAGAAAGGGAGAGAGAGAGAGAGAGAATTTTCATGACTGAGACTCACTTTGTAAACCATACCTGAGAGAGAGACAGAGAGAAAATTTCCGGGACTGAAAATCAGTGTGCAAACCACACTGGATTTACCCCCGCACAATTATTATGCACAAACAGGACAAACGGACAGGAAGGACTCTGAGGGGTGCCAAAATAGTCCAAATGATGTGCACAGCAAATGTTCTGGGTGTAAGCATACTACAACTTCCAAAAGTCTCCTTTCATCCCCAATGGATGCCTCCCCTATGTCGCCCTAGTAGAGAGTGAAAAGGAAATTGATTCCCACCATACCCAATCTCGTGAACCACAACCACCACCACCACTAAAGTTCTTGGAGTTGTCCACTTAAATACCTGTCCCTCTACTCTCTTTTGATTTAGCCTGCATTGCACTCTTACCTTCCTCTGTGGGATTAGCTTGGCCAGCTGCACACCCAAAAGCAGGAGTAATGGTTCAGTCACAGGCCAGGTGGTCCTTGACCCAAACTTGGGGCCGCGAAAGGCTCGAGCTGCTCAGCCTACTAGGCCAAGGGGGAGCCGACCAACTGCAGGAGCAGCAACTGGATTCAGGTGGTGAACAGAGGTGCCATAGCGGCCTGGATTCCGCATGGTCCTAGTGCTTCAGAGTTGCGTGCACCATGGGCAAGAAGGAGGAGAAAAGACTAAGCAAGGAGGTGGTTAGGAATCCTTTCATTTACAAGTCCAATATCTACCCACAATTCCACAGGAGCTTATTTGTCATCACCTGCTGGGTTCTGGGCCAGAGATGGGGGCGGGCGGAGCTGAAGTCTTAACAAGTCTGTGTGCAATGCAACCAGCTGTTAGCACTGGTGTAACCCAACACTGAACGTGAGATATAAGAAGGAACACTGTCTTTGGAGTTCCCAGATCTGCCACAAGGTGGCTTTGGCCAATTTACACTGTCTGGTACTCAGTTTGCTCATATGAAAAATGGGAATAATTGCTCCTACATTAAAGAGTTATGGTAAACACTGGATAATCAAACACAGCACAATTCATGGTAAATAGTGTGTTATAAGTGATAGTTATAATTTATTTCAGTTGTACCTGTGAAAAAAGTATTGTAAGTATACCTTTGTATGTAAATATTCAATATGTTCAACAAACAACTAAATGCCAAGCGTGTATATATTATCTATATCCATATTATTTAATCCTTATAAGATCACAAATAGTACTGATGAATATCAAATCTCTAGCCCACATCTCTCTCCTAAACTCCAAATGCTTGAATCCAATGACAATTTGACATCTCCACATGAATAGCTCACAGATCCTTTAAACTCAATATGACCAAAACTCATCTTCCCAAACCTGCTGCTCCTCTAGGTTCATCTATTGCATTTTCATCCACTCAGTCAACCATGCCAAAAATCTGGGACTCATCCCAGATTCTTCGTTTTCTCTCATCCTCAAAAATCGTCACCAAGTCCAATTTAATGCTTTTCCCTCCTGACTCAGCCCTAGCTCAGATCTCACTGACATTTACATGAACTTCTACAAATAACTAACTGATCACCTTTGCTTCATTAGAGTATTCTTTCTAATATACAGATCTGACCATGTTACTCCCCTGCCAATGAGGCTGCAATGATTCCCCATTTTTTTTTCAGGTTCAACGCCCATTTACTTTGTATGGTATTCAAAGATATTACGATTGGTGTTTGAAAACCTCCCTACCTCATCCCTAGCCTGTTCCATCCCTCCCATGCTATGCTCCTGCCAAACTGAACTACCTGAAGAGTCTCTCTCCCTTCCATATCTTTGCATATATTTTCCCTATTCCCTCTCCAAAGAGGAAAAAGAATGAGTGTGTGTGTGAGGGGGTGTTATCTACCTATTAAAGTCAGGGGGGATTTATGTAATTCCACCATCCATTTAGCAATCGAAGGTGGAGACTCAAGAGTAATCCTTGACTCTTTCCTAAATATGTTTCCACTATAGAGCTAACGTCCTTAGTGTGTCTGCAACCTGTTCTCTATTCTCCATTCCCACTGCTACTACCTGAATTATGTAATAGCTTCCTAACTAGTGTTATGCTGCCTTCAATCTGTCCCTTTTCAAAACCATTCACTACACTTAAATTTTATTATTTTCTGATAAAGTAATTTATGCTTCTATTTATGCTGTGTACATCTGACCTGTCTTTTATATCTTCATGAAAGTGAGTATTATCTCTACCAATTTCATAAGTGAAGAATTGATTCTCAGTGTTGTTTAAATTTATATTTATTTGATTTATAGTGATGATGACACCTTCTTTATGTGATTATGGGTCATTTGTATCTCTTCTACTGTGAATTGCTTGTTCACATCCCCTGCCAAATTTTTGGGTTTTTATCCTTTTAAAAACTAATTTGTTTATTTTTGCTATCGTTTCTCTTGCTTGGTCAGACATAGTATTTGAAAATATGTTGCTAAGACCAATGTCAAAGAGCATACTTCCTATGTTTTCTTCTAAAAGTTTCATGGTTTCAGGTCTTATATTCAAGTCTTTAATCCATTTGAGTTAATTTTTGTGTATGGTGTAAGATAATGGTCTACTTTCATTTTTTTTGCATGTGGCTGTCCAGTTTTACCAACACCATTTGTTGAAGAGCCCTTTCTCCATTGTATGCCCTTGGCTCCTTTGTTGAAAATTAGCTGTGCGTAGATGTGTGGGTTTATTTCTGGGCTCTCGATTCTATTCTATTGATCTGTGTGTCTATTTTTGTTCCAGTACCATGCTGTTTTGTTTACTATGGCTTTGTAGTATATTTTGAAATCAAGACATGTGATATCCCCAGCTTTTTTTCTTTTCTCTCAGGATTCCTTTGGCTATTTAGGGTCTTTTGTTGTTCCATATAAATTTTAGGATTCTTTGTTGTATTTCTGTGAAAAACGTTGTTGGAAATTTGATAGGGGTTGCATTGAATCTATAGATTGCTTTAGGAAGCATTGACATCTTAACTATGTTAATTCTTCCAATCAAAGTGCACAGAATATCTTTCCATTTCCTTGTGTCTTCTTCAATTTCTTTCAGCAATCTTTTATAGTTTTCAGTGTACAGGTCTTTCACCTCTTTGGTTAAGTTTGTTCCTCGGTATTTTATTCTTTTTGTTACAATTGTAAATGAAGAAGATGTGGTATATATACACAATGGAATACTACTCAGCCATAAGAAACAATGAAATCCTGCCATTTGTGACCACATGGATGGATATTGAGGGTATATTCTAAGTGAAATAAGTCAAAGGGAGAAGGTCAAATACCATATGATCTCACTCATAAGTAGAAGATAAAAACAACAACAAACATAGAGACAGAGAATGGATTGGTGGTTACCAGAGGGGAAGGGGGGAAGGAGGGAGGTGAAAGGGATGATTAGGCACATGCATGTGGTAATGGATCGTAATTAGTATTTGGGTGGTGAACATGATGTAATATATGCAGAAATAGAAGTATAATGATGTACACCTGAAATTTATACAATGTTATAAACTAATGTTACGGGAATAAAAAATAAGGTAAATCAAAAAAAATCTAATTTGTAAAAGTTCTTAATATAATAAGGGTATTAAGCTTGTATAATCCCCATATATTTATGATATTGTCCCCAGTAAGTTGTTTGCCTTTTAATAGCGCTAAAAGTTATGTTAAAACATAAAGATATTTTAAATATTTATGTAAAAATCTGCTGAACTTTCCGTTTGTGATTACATTCATCAATATTACCCTTAGTATCCTTTCTCAACTGTTTATCAATTAACAATTTACTTATATTATCCATTATGTGATTTCTTTTTTTTGCAGAGTTTTTTCTACTGTGCACAGAGATGCTAGCATGGAGTTGGGACCATTAAGGGCATGGTTACTGCTGTCTCTCCCAGTTTTACCTCCTGCCAATTCCTTACACACACATTCTTTGTTACAGCTATACCAAACTACAGTTCCCTAAAACAGTGGTCTCCAAACTGAAACTGCTATTTAAAATAATTGGCATGCCCCCTAATATGTTTGTATATGTTTACGTACAGACTGTATTGTACTGTTCTAATACAAATATTAAGATTATATCTTATATAGTAATATGAAATGTACATTATATAACACAAAGTAATAAGTAAATTGAAGTATAAGATTTTCTTTAAAAAGTGCTCGTGTTTTCCCACACTCCAGTATATTATCTTGCGTACTCCCGATAGTGCTTACACACAATCCCCCACCTTGAAGACCCTGAACTAAACTATATATGCTATATAACACTCTCTTAGCTGGTATCCACTTCCTCTTTCTTGCCGCACCCCTGAGACATAACACAACTATTCAAACTTCAAGGCTCAACTCAGACAATGTACCTTTTAGGAAGTTTTTTCTGACCACTATCATCCCCAGTCTGATTAGACACTCTTCCTTTGCATTTAACAGCACACCATATTTTGCCCTATGATGGCACTCAGCACGTTGTACACTAATTAAACATCCCCCTAACAAAAAGAGTGGAAATCTCCTATGGTAAGGACCCTATCTTAGTCATCTTTGTATCACCAGAGCCTGGAACTGAGTAGGCACTCAGAGTGCTGATTTAATATGTGAATGATTGGAACCAACATAATTTTGTTTTAGAACCCCTGACAGACCATTTCCCCTCTCAAACACCCAGAAAGCACTCAACCCACTACCACTCACATAGATAAATACAACCATAGATGCATATGAAAATATACACCCATTTCAATAAACATATACTCATAATAAAAATATGGACCTTTACGCACGGATACACATGCATACCTTCACAACTATGAAAAACAAAGTTTTTCCTTCTACCCTTTCAGAAATACTGATATAAAAATAAACATATGCATCAGTAACCACAAAATTCTGGTTAGGGTAGGCAAAAAGTTATGTGGCTTGATAGATGGTAACAAAATAGGTAAATGAATAGGAAATGATAGGATTTTGAACACAGACACACCCTCCACCAATAAAATTTGTTTTTTTCTCACATATTATTTTTAATTAAACTTTTTATTTTGAAATAACTGTAGATTCACATGCAGTTGTAATAAATAATACAGAGAAATTCCAAGTAATGTTTGCTCAGTTTTCTCCAATGATAACATCTTCCATATTATAGTACAATGTCATGGTGAAGATATTGGCATTGATACAGAACATTTCCATCACTAAAAGGATCTCTCATGTTGTCCTTTTATAGCCACAACCACTTCCACCCTACCCAATCCCCTTCTTAACCCATGGCAACCACTAATCTCCATTTCTATAATTGTGTCATTTCATGAATGTTATATGAAATAAATCATACAGTATTGTAACTAATTGGGATTGACTACTTTTACTCAGCATAATTCACTGGAGATTCATCCAGGTTGTTGTGTGTATCAATAGTTCATTCCTTTTCATTATTGAGTAGCATTCCATGATATGGATGTGTCACAGTTTGTTTAACCATTTTCCTATTGAAGGATATCTGGGTTGTATACAATTTGGGGCTATTATGAATAAAGCTGCTGTAAACATTCATATAGAGGTTTTTGTGTGAATATAAGTCTTAATTTCTCTGAAA